TCCCTATAGTAATAAATCTAGCGCGCAAAAATAAAATAGAAGAGCATAATTTTTGGCCATCGGTCAGGTGTCTAACATAACATCTTCTCATTCTCGGAATGGCAAAATTATTTAAACATTTAAATCTTGAATTTCAAAAAAATTCAAGTTTTCCTTTTCCGTTCACGGAATCAAAAGAACAATTTCATACTCTCCTCTCTTACATACACGGAAGTATGTACCGTTTCTAACACGCAGATATCCAAATTAGAGAGATTTTACTTTTAAGTGTGCATTAATGATTCCACGCATTTGAATTAACGTGCCCAACACTTGAATTTAAAATTAATTACGAAAAGCACTGAAAAGCTATAAATAAAACCAGTTACACTCTGAAAAATCGTGACTTCGGGACGTTCTGGAGCAAAAACTCCGTCGTGTTTGGATTCTCGCGGCTGTATTGCCAAAAAAAAAAAATCAATTTTCCGCGCGAACGACATTTTCTAGAACCAACCTGTGATACTCTCTTACTTTTGCACACATATCTTAAAATCGAGAGAAAATTAATCCATTTGAAAATTCCCGAATGTCTCAAATTCACGAGAAATATTGCGGATGAGGTGTAAAAAATGAGGGAAAACATTCCATATTACTCGGATGACGGTTCTCTCAATGCAAAAACGCGATCAAATTCTGCGATCGGAATTTTCCATGAAAAAACAGAGATGCTTTCACGCTTTCGGTCAAAAAACTCGATGCACTCGAAAAAAAAATTTGTTCCTTTGCAAATTTTCCAATGTCTTGAAGTTACGAGCAATTCATTGACTGAGGTAGTAGATTATTCATTTTACGTATTATTTTCAATTCTTTCACCAATAATTGAAACGCACTGGTTAGTTGAACCACGCAGACCGTACTTTGATAGTAAACTTTATATGAATGTTGAGACCGGTGCATGAACTAAACATGTTATTTTTTGGGACTTGTATCGACTCTCATAACATGAGTCTTTAATTGATGCAATTTTAGTCCTTCTCTCCCTCTACTAAAATGTAATTTCTACTGATACATTTTTTTGCGAGTGAAACTTTCCTAAAATTTTTCCATTGAAAAATTGCGTCTCAAAAGTAAGGCAGGGAAATTTTTTTCGTTAAAACAAGTAAATTCCACGAATTTCACACCGCTGTTGACCGATCAATTATTCTCTCTTTTACAAAATTAAAAAAAAAAAGAGGAAAACTATTAATTTATATTAGGATAATGTTTTCCCTAGTCCAAAAACGCGACCCAACAGTCCATATTCCTCCAAACCGAAGCTTATTGTACTTACAGCCGAAAATTAAAGTTACCGTATTCTAGAAGACTTTTTCTCTCCCAAAAGTCGAAGAATAATTAGGTTATGCAACGAACAGAAACAGTACCGCATCCACCTTTTTTTACAAAAATAATCCGTGCATTTGATTGTGGGTATTTTTGTTGATCAAGTTTTTTATTCGGTGAATCATGTGAGGTCAGTCACGAAGGTGAAGAGTTATACTTTTTTATTTATACTCCTCTCCCCCCCCCCCTCATTCACATTACTCTCTCATTTTTTAATAAATTAAGAAGGTAATCTCATCATGGGCGACCCAGGTATGAAAAGACGCGATCATGCGATATTGGAACATTCCAAAAGTAGGAGAGAGGGTCCAAATTATTTTCGTTTCTTGATTATTCATACACAATACAGCCCAAAAATTTGGTGCATCTTTGAAGGACAAAAAAATTTGAATTTTCTTGGTTTGTTCACAATTTCTTTTAAACAGATGCAATGAGACCGATAAAAGTGCCATACTTAAATGCTTTAATCGGTTCGAAGTTTTTAATACAATAGCGTACTCAATCTCGACAGGAACTTTCCACGAACAACTTGAAATTGAAGTTTACTTCATTTCGACTTTAAATCGTTTAAAGCATTTTCTATGAGGTATAAGCATCTTTTAATTCACTCAAATGCTTTTGCAAAAATTCTTTGGCGTTAATATTTCGTAAACTTAACTGTATTGATCCGTCTTTCTATTGAAAAAAGTTCAAGGTTACCTTAGAATGAGTTTTTAACAAAAAATTACGAATCACAGTAGAAATGTAATAACTAGAGGAATAGAAACAGGTATTTCACTTTGCAGTACGTTATGTGGCTCAGAATTACTGGAACTTACACATAAAGATAGAATACATCACTCTTTCTCTTCATGCATTTCACTGGAAAAGTCGTGTAAAGGTGAAGCGACGAAAGAGCGGAAATGTCAAGAATGTCTGACGAACTTCCGGTGTTTTTGAATATGCCCCGCTAGTTAATGCACCTTCTGTATGAATTTTTAAAAGACCTGGTTACGCAAGGAAGGAGTCGCCTGAAAGTTTCCTCTATTCCCTGCGTTTCAGTGGCGAGGCGTGAACGATCGATTATCGATATTTGCCCATGTGAAGCTGCGGTAAGAATCGATTTTTAAGTTTATCATTGTGAACGCCCTGTCTATATCGATCCTTTTCCGTAGGTTTAAATGGCAGATCAATCGATATATCACAAAGCATGCACCGCCACTGCTGCGGTTCCTTTTCTTTTACATTAATGGGGGAAATGTAAATATTAGAAGGATAGGTATGCAAATTTCTGTACTTTCCTGAAATTTTTACGGAAAAAAGATACTAGAAAACATTTAAAGTGGCCCGTTTGTTGTACTTAACACGATTTGACAGTCACTTGACGACGGAAAGTATTTAAATTTGAGACCTCATATTCTTTAAAGCTCAGTGATAACCTTTTGGCAGGTAGGTAAGATTCCACTTTTATTTGGCGCAGCAATACAGAATTTGAGCTTTTTATTGCTTCATCTGAGAGTGTTCAATGAGCCGAGTTCGCAGTATTTTTCCTTATTTTTTTCTGATATAAAGAACTGTAGAAAAATAGATATAATGAAGGTAAGAAAATGTAACGCCTTTTAACATCATCTGGTGGCATTTCTCATTTAAACAAATGTCTTTTTTAGAAGTTTCAGTTATTTTGTCATATTTCCTCTGATAATTGCGTTCATTTCAATTCATTTACCAAGGATCATACTCAGTTCGCTGAATAGATTCATCTTAAACATGAAACTCACCAGACCTCAGACATTTACAAATTCTCCATCGTTTCAAAATTTAGAGGCATTTCTTTAGACAAGAAAGAAGGAGAAGAAGAAGGGGGAGGAGGATGCTCTATCTAGCATGCATGGAAGATTAACAAAATTTGATATAATTTCGCTGCTTAGAGCCACCGCTACCGTATTCATACTTTTAGTCGACTTTTCTTACTCTGCGTTCAAGTCTCCATGTAATTTTCGCATGCTCTTCATTGGCGAATTCGAAGGTGTAGAGGCAAAAATCGTTCTGCGTTTGCGTTAGCAATGATGCTCGTCGTCATTACACAATAAGGGAACCAACTTCCCTTGTCTATTCATGAAAACGCTCACCTGCATTAGGAATCAACGAGAGATGCGTCGTTCTTGAATTGAGTAGAACAGTTGGTTCCTTTTCGCCTAATTCCGATCATTTCATTGGCTTTCAACCGTTCTGTACGTACATTGGCAACCTGGTGCACAGTTCGGCGGCATAGCGGAGGAGACGCGAGACACTTTTGCTTTCGTCGGACGCGGCCCGCGCGCACGCTGCGCCGCGTCCACCCGTAAAGCCGCGTCTCCACAGGCAGCGCGCGACGCGGAGTCAACCGCGTGGCGCGCGGCTTTCTCGCACGATCGGGACCGCAGTGATTTGAAACCTATGCAATATGCATTGCCTTTCCAGTGGCAACAGGCAGGTTAAAAGTTGATAAGTTGGACGTATTTCTGCCCATCGGAACCAGGGACAGGCGGGAAAGAAGGGGTGTTCTCGTTAGTCGAGGACCGTAAGAATGAATGGGAATTATAAAACGCCAATGACGTCAGCGGCGACGAGGCCGCCGCCACCGCGGCTCCGCCTGGAAGTCTGTAACTCATGAGCCCTGTCCGGTACGCTCTTGTCACATGCCCATGGCTCATGAGTGCCGCATTTAGTTGGCGCATACTTCCGTTTGACACAATCAAGAATCCCGCTTTTCCATTTCTTGAAAGGGAATCACGCTCACTTTAACATTGTTTCGTATGCAGCTTCCTAGAGCACACCCCATATTTCCCACGCGTCTATAGTTCCATTTGGTAGAAACATGTCTATATATCGCACCAGCACTAAATTTTGAACGGGGGAGAGGGGGGGAGGCTGTTGGACAGGAGTCCGGGGGCTTTTGGACGCGAGTTCGGGGGGCTCCCTCAAATTTTTTTCGAAATTTTAAAGCATCACGGTTTGCAGAGCGGTTTGAGTAAATTTCGTCACGGATAATTACCTAATATAAATATCCTTCTGGTTGATTTGTACTGGTACTGGTTGATAAACATTGTCACCGTGTTGAAAAGACGATTTTTTTCTTCAAATTTGAGGGGGCCGTGGCCCCCAGGAAAAGCGTTTTTAAAAAAAATCATACTACAAAACAGTCTTTTATTGACCCAAAGAATCGACTCCTTCAATATTCATACTTGGACGTATTTCTATCAAACGGAACTAAGCGCCAATTTGAGTTCCTTTCGAGGAATTTAGAATCCCGGATAGCGCGTTCTGTCGAACAGACCTAAGCGCCATGGAAAATCATTGCGAGTATATTACGGATTAAGCCAGACGCCCGATTCCGCCGCCAATCCAAGCCTCCCTCTACCTTCCTCACCCTGTGGCGCTTAGGTCCGTTTGATAGAAATACGTCCACTTAATCCTGGGACACCCTGTAGATATGGTTTGCTTGATCATGCACTTGGTAGCGCAGCAAACTCAGCGTCGCGCGCCAACTGTGAGAGCGTGGCTTGGGCCCGTCTCCGCGCGTCGCGTCGCGTCGCGTCGCGTCGCGTCGCGGGGCAGCCGGTGGGGGGGGGGACGAGCGGGACTCCGCGCCGCGAGTGGTTACTCTCATTTTCTCCCGTCCGAGCTCTCGTCCATTGAAAGTTACTTCAGTGCTCGAGCGACTACTTTCACCCGGCTCAGATCCCGGCGCTCCGCCGAGGAACGCACGTTCCCTCTTAGTCGCCGTCATGGCCGTCAAATGTTCGGTGAGTTCCCTCAAGAACAATACCTAGTTCTGTAGTTCTCTAGTACTTTTTTCAAAATGTTGTGTGCCTTTCAAGGAATACTTCCCGGTAGGTGTGTACAGATTTTGTTTTCTTCCCGTTAGTTCTTAGTAGTCGCGGCACTTTTCTCTCCGCTCGGTGTTTTACTTTCTCTCGCCTCAAAATTCGATTTTACAATCTTCGGAATAATTTCGAGGTCTATGCTTTGTCATTTTGTGTCGTTTTTATGAAATTTGACTGATGCTTAAAGGATCGCGCAAAACTCCTGTCCCCGCCCCACCCTCGTACTTTTCGCCATTTTTTTTACTTTCTCTCGCCTCAAAATTCAAATTTCATGGTGCGGCGTATTCTACAATTTTCGGAACCATTTCGAGGTCTATGCTTTGTCATGTTGTGTCGTTTTTAGGAAATTCGACCGATGAAAGGATCGCGCAAAACTCCTATCCCCTCCCCACCCTCGCACTTTACGCCATTTTTTTACTTTCTCTAGCCTCAAAATTCGAATTTCATGGTGCGGCCTATTCTACAGTTTTTAAAAGCATTTCTAGGTCCCCGCTTTATCTTGTTGTGTAGTTTTTAGGAAATTCGACGGAAAAGGATTGCGCAAAACTCCTATTCCCCCCCCCCCACCCTTGTACTTTTCGCCATGTTTTTTTTTTACTTTCTCTCGCCTTAAAATTTGAATTTCAAGGTGCGGTCTATTCTACGGTTTTCGAAATTGTTTCGAGGTCTGTGTTGTATCCTATTGTGTCGTTTTTTACTCCAGAAATTCCAACCGGTAATGAACGAGGAGTTTTCAGGCAGTGCTTCTTCCACCCTTCCCCCGCCATTACTCTCCGCCATATTTTTTACTTTCTCTCGCCTCAAAATTCAAACTCAAGGTGCGGTTCTTTTGACAACATATTAAATCATTTCGAGGTTTGTAATTTTATCCTAATATGTTTTAATCCTGAAAATTTGACTGGTGGAACAATGAAGGAATTTTGACAATACCACCGTCCCCGCCACCCGCACTCTTCCTTCCGCCTCAGCCTCATTTTTTATTTTTCTCGTTTCGAAATTCAAAATTCGGGGTACGGTCTATTTTTCCATTTCGGAATTATTCAGAAGTTTGGGCTTCATCCTATTGAGTCGTTTTAACTACTAAATTTTGGAATGATAGACAGAAGAGAAGAGACAAACATTTAGGCGGTACATCTACCACTCTCCCCTTCACCCGCTTTCTTTCTTTAACAACTTATGTTTTACTTTCTCTCGCCACGAATCCAAATTTTTGCGCTCGAGAAGATAATGTCTGTTTCTCGATCTGTATTCGGAACTATTGGAGGAAATTATCAACTGGTCTTAATGTAACTCTTCAATGCCTGAAGAATGTGAATAACTGAGGGAGGAAGGAATATTACGCAATAAATCCACCACCCCCTCCCCAAGCATCCGCTACCTCTTTTTTGCCGTAATTTTTCGCTTTCCCTCTCCCAAAAATTCAAAATAATGTATTTGCTTCAGTACTCTAGTTTTACCTATCATTCTGGAATTCGCATTAATTTTTCACCAAGTGCCATTTTTCTGCGGAATTCGTGACTTGCAAGAGGTGGAAAGAATTTTAAGCGATTATGCTACCACCATCACCATTCCTTTCACTAGCGACTGTACCTCATTACCAAAAATGCCTTTTGCTCGACAAAATATTTCAAGTTCCTGAGTACTTCATGTCTTTTTGCTTTATCTTTCCTTGAAATTTCACTCACACTAAGATTTTCGGACGATCAGGAATGGTCTCTTCTTCAGTTTTGAATATCGTACACAAAATCTGTTTTTATTTTGGCGGAAATCTAATCTATTGCAAAGGTTTTTTTTCCCCTCAAACTTTCTTCAAATCAGAATCTTACATTTTACTAAGCACAATCATTGAGACTTGCTAATTTCTCCGATCCTAGGAGGGTGGAATTTGCCCCTACCGTCGGATTTCTGGTGATCTTTGAACCGAAGGAAAGTAATGCCGCTTTCAATTTGGACCCCCTCCACTCCCTCCCCTTCCTCTTTCATCCACAGTGAGTGCCCTTCTCCTCGCAAATATTTCGTCAGCAAATATGTATCTCGACTATTTGAGGTTTGCACGTTTGCCGCTATCAAAGAGAATACTTCCTGTTAAGTCCGTTAGCGTGTTCACGCTGTATGTCCGAAGGGCCCGGCTTATTTCGGCATACTTTCTCCTTTCGCGAAATTGGGTCTCTCTCGTTCCATTCAGTGAGCTTCATTTCTGCATTTTTAAATCATCGAAAGACGGCTTTTTTTGCCTCTAGTGCCATCACATACAGAGGTCCCCCCACCTACCCAAAATGCACATTTATACTGCCGTGCTAAGGAAAAACGCCGTATGAACATTCGAGAGTTGCCACATTTCTCCGAATAAAAGATGTATTTTTGAGGAAAGTTTTGCATATTTTTCCCTGGAATTTTCAGATATTTTAGATTAAATCGTGAACAAAATCAACTGAAAATTTTGAGGAAGAATATTGACAATTTTCTCAGTAAATTTGGCTTTTCTTGAAGGAAATATGGCAACGTCTGAAGGCTTATACGGTGTTGTTCTTTAGCACAGAAGTATAGGTGCATGCCAACTCTGCACATCCCCTCCCTGTGTTGTTCATTCGCTTCACCACTTGCCGCCGAAGATGATACGGTTTCCGTTTCCGGTTTCACTGTGCCGTTAGAGTTGGCAACACTGTTTTCCTCCATTTAAATGTATTTAAAACAATCGATTCTTGGTGAGGCAGCCTATCTCACCTAGAATCGATATTTTTAATGGATTTAACTGGAGGAGAAACAAGAGTTGCCTGCTTGCAATGATTTTATGTATTTATCTACTTTTCTAACGCCGCGTTTAAGTCTCCAAGCATTCTGCTCCATGCAGATGATTTAAAAATTGAGATAATTCGGTTTCATCTGCTTGTACTAGTAGAAGCTTTATTCATATCTCACATCTGACGTGTTTAATTTATATTTGAACCAATTTTGTGCATTAGGTTTTGAAAAAAAAGAAACAATCGATTCTTTGTGAGACAGCCTATCTCACCTTGAATCGATATTTTTATTGACTTTAAATTGAGGCAAAACAGTGTTGTCATTACCAAGAATCGCCACTTATTATAAGAGTGAATTCACCTCCATGCCTTACTACCGAGTAGATGTGTCGATAATTTTACACTTTTTTAAGGAGCTTTTTAAGAACATCTCTTCAAATCGATTTTTAGCAAGTTGGATGCGATCACTTCTTTAATCGTGGAATGAATCGGAACGGTGCTGTAAACACGGCTGCAAAAGAAACAACCGACTGTCCTCGAAAGAATTGAGTTTAGTGTCAAAATTAAGATATTAGCACCACTGCATGGAGGAGTACATGCCGGAACGAAAATCGCTGAAACATGTAATAGGTACTAATCGAAGTGCTGCCGGTTTGAAGTTTGCAGCTTGCTTGGAGGATGTAGTCATAAAAAAATATCATGCAAAATTTTAATCTATCCTGAACGGGGCTAAGACTGACCAATTGAGATGCACTTACGCCCTCCATTAACATAAAATGGAACTGTACGGCTCACAAGTTAGGTAATCTTCGCGACAATATTGACATTTTCCCCTTTAAAAATTCATGTTCCGTTTTCCGAATCGACGCCTGACAAAAATAGCTCCCTTGCAGAATTCACCCCCATGATCAGAAGATCTTTTCCTTGTGGCTGGGTTAATTCAATTCTCAATGTGTTGACAAGAATGAAGTATCTGATACTTAGGATACATTTTGCAAAAAGGAACCACTAATCCGTGTTGTATCTCTCGAGCAGTCTTCACGTGCAGTTAAATGGAAGTTTTCTACTGGTAATCGATCTCCTTTCTAGCATTGGCGGATACAGCGAATTAGCAACATTGTTTTTCTCCATTTAAACCTATGGAACTGTATCGATTCTTGGAGGGGGAGGGGCCAGGTGCTCCGACAAGAATCGATTATTAACATAGGTTTAAATAAAGGGAGTACGGCGTTGCCAAATTGCTGGATCCGCCTCTGCTTTCCAACCTTCTCATCGGCAAACTGTGCAGAAGCGGGTTACCAATTACCCATTTCGAAGACCCAATTTCGACCGTACGAAGGCGGCTGTACAGTTATTTTCATAACTTCCCGTTTGAACGGACGCTTGGCAACACTGCCCTACCCGCGCCGATGGTAAAATCTCAACTCCGCATGCCTGCCCCGGTGAGGCATAGTTTTGACCCAGATTCATTCGTATCAGTTCATTACTAACCGAGAACGGTATTCAGTTTTAAATTTCACCATGGGACGAAATGTGTTACCTTCACTGATAAAAGCCGCCCTGAAAGGCTTAAGTCCATTGCACGTATTTATCAGTTATGCGACGTTTCAGAATTTCCACGTATTCTCAATCGTATTGAGAAATCACCCGCGCAGCCCCGTAAAATGTAGGTGTTTTGCCGAGACCAAAGATTTTATTACACAGTAACCATTTTCTGTATAATTTAAGGCATAGTATTCCTTTAATTTACCACTAAAATGGGCGCTAGGCTATGAAAATGGGGTGACTTAAAGGACAAACCCCTAGGTTTAAGCGCATTTTTGGATCGTTCTCCTCTCGTTCTTGACCTTCTATGATAGGATTTAAGAAGTTCATTTATTTTTTTGTGATTTTTGAACAACTAGACCCCACCTTATTATGCTTTGTCACGATGGAATTCCTGTAATTTTGTGTTAGTTCCCGCTCGGATCTCTGTAAACTTTGGATACGAATTATCTGACTAGAAAAATGTGCAATAAGCGAACAATGCAGCATTGCCACATTGCCCTAGGCCCGCTTTAGTAGAAGAGTTAAAAACTGCTCTTATTTTCAATGAATGACCCGACCCCACTGTGCATGGTCGGCTTACTTTTCTTACTCTGCGTTTAAGTCTCTGAACGTTTCTCTGTTTTTACAGTA